AATCTTTCAATAAAGTTGGCATTTCGCATGAGCATGTTCTAGCTCGCCGCAGTCGCAACCCCATGCTAGCCCAGCTGTAGTTTTTTTGCAAACCATTCTCCCTACCCATATAATGTTTGTACAGGATTTGTGTAAATGTGAAACCTGTTTACAAATAGGTGTCCGTTTGAGTAAACCCATACAAAGAGTTGCATCAGAATGTGTGTATGGGCCAACCATTTTCATCAGTAAATTTGTATCAGCAACTCCTAATAACGTGTGCACAAAGAATGAGGTCTATATGTTGGTGAAAAGGGCTTGAAAACGTAATCTAAAAACATTACTCCAAAGCAGGCGCTTGGTGTTAGAGATGTACCGAATAATTACACCGCCTAAATCCTTAATATAAACCGTCCTCTGCGTTGATGCATCCTTATCTTGTGCCAGCAGAGCCAGCTAGGTCTTTCATGAAATGCTCTTTAACAGGCTGCACGACTTGAAAAAATACAGAACCCCAAGTGTTTTCCAACGTTACGAATGTTGATCACATTTGAACTGTTTGCTAAGGCCGGCCTAGTGATCGACAATCGGGAACTCGGTCACATTAGTCAACTTAACAAATTTAAAGTATAAGTAGCAGCACTGAAAAAGTTCTACGATCATTTGGATTGAGGTTACCCAGCAAAACTGTCAGATTAGTCAATTTAACAAAAGTATAGACAGCACCACTAAAAAAACGTTTACATTTATTTTGATTAAGGTTGCCCCACAAAAGCGTTTCAAATATGCAGTCAGCATATGAACAGTCCTTTCTACAGCCTTAAGGCTCTACTACTGGAGAAAATCCAACTGCTGTGATCTCCATCTCCAACATGATGTGCGTAAGCTCAAGCATCGATTCCACAGCTCATAAAAGTTCTTCAAATTTAAAACTTCCATCAGGGGACCTAAATAGCAAGTATCAAAAGGCGTTTATAAAGTCACTGCAAGGCCGAAACATAAATACTCGCACAGATTTTACATTGTTTTGTTACGCATGACAGGTTGTCGTGCATCGGCTTTTCCATGCATCGTTTTCCCGATTCACAAAAAACCGTCATGCATCGGCTTCCGAAACGCTTCGTATGTCAATTAGAAGTGTTTATAAACCAGAATAAAAAAATTTCACCGAGATACCTACACTAGAACTTTATCAAATATCAATAACAATAGAGCTCACGTCTGGAGAGCCGCATCACACTTGCCGATCGTTGGCGTACTCGTAAACAATGTGCATGCTGCTGCAGCCCCGAGTTTCTCGAAGTGCACACCATGTGCACTTGGAGAAGCGAAACTATCACTGCGGCAGGAATACAAACTGTACTTCGGGGATAGGCGAAATAGTGTGCGACACTTTCAACAGGCGGCACCACCAGAGTTAACGCTCGCGTGAAAACTCGAATGCTTCGCTGCCCTCGCCTAAAAAGAAAATGGTATTGGACATTTTTTTTTTACTTCCTTTCTTATTTTTGGGGAGAGGGCTTTTCTGTGTCTCTTTTTTTCTCTTTCCGGTCTTCCTTTTCTTTTTCTTTTTTTGCTCCGGACGTTTTTGAGTGTCGCCGACACTATGAGAGCTTGGAGCCTCTTCGAACGACCTCCCCCTCCGTTTTAGGCTGGTTCAGGCGTATGTGTTTTCAACTGCACTAGACGGCTCCTTGTGTCCCACTATGAAGCGTTGAGCGGATCTCGGTAGTCATATCAATGATCTCATTGTAAACGCTCATAAGCGGTCACTACGCAGTCGGTTATGCGCAAACGGAACTGTCTGAACCAGAGTGTCGAGCCAAAAATTTTATCGGTTCGGTTCGGGCTCACGGCTTTCGGTCCAGTTCCCGTTAATCTCTGGGAACATAAATAAAAACCGGTTTGAACCGGTTTGAACAGCTAATTTGGGAATGCATTTTCCGCGTTATTTTGGCAATAAGTACTATTTCCGCCGTCAAACGAGTAACAATTTTTTTTCTTCAGAGGTACAATCCACCTTTATTTCCAGGCACCGAAAATTAGAACTAGCGTTATTTAATTTTGACATAAAAGTAAAAGAAAATCGTTAACAGGCAAAACGTCGTGTTCATACGACCAAACATCTATTTGTTCACCTGAGTCACATATATTTTAACCTAATGGAAAGGTAGTCACAAACTTTGGTAGCTCACCTAAAATACCCGTGATTGATACAACTTTCCATCGCAGTATTAAAAACTGAACCGTAGTTGTGCTCTTGAACTAAGGAATCGGAGTGCATACAAAAGGGAATGGGTATCTCGTTGTCATATATATAATTAATCATAGTTTACGAAATACGTTTTATAATAAACAGGGTGTGGCTTTAAGGACAAACATATTTCACACGCCTTTCAAAATTCGAATTTCAAAAGAAAATGCCTGAATTAGGCCACGCCTGCATAGCTTTGCCAAACGTTTTACGTCATTTTTTTCCCCCTTTAGAGCTCATTTTTGAGGTAGTGACGTATTAAAAATAAAGCAAAATCGGAGGTCGTGCATTTTTCACGTCCTCTCCTATACCAGCCTGTTTGTTGTCTGCACACTGGTTTATGAGCTCGCTCCCGGGTGGCTTGCTGCACGCAAAGAACGCTTAAAAGAATAAGAGAGGCTGTCAATGAGCAAGATAATCGCGATAATTAGTACTTTTAACAAAATATATGAACGATGACCACCTGGGAGCAAGCTCATAAACTAGTGTGCAGACGACCAACATCCGGCAGTAGGGTATAGGAAATGTACGACCACCGTTTTTGCTCTATTTTTAATATTTTACTACCTCTGACTTTAGCTCTGAAGAAATAAAGAAAAAAAAATACAATTTTTCGCGAAACTACGTCGCCTATCCAATTTCAAGATGTCCGTTTTGAATTCGAATTTTGCAAGGCGTGCCAAATCCGTTAGTCGTTACGACCACACCCTGTATTTGATGACAACGCAACTGAGCTAAAAGCAGTTCAAATACTTATGACAAACGCATGTATTCGTAGTCACATTGGGCCAGTGACACACCTACACTGAGCAGCAATCAACACGCTTGTCTTCCTGACCAACAGTTTTACACTCAGCACAGTGATGCAGGCAAAGAATAATATAGAAAGGAGTGATCAAAATAGCTCACTCTCACTACCTATAATTTAAACGCACATTTGTGCTGAGATCGAATCTGGCCTAAAATAGCGCATATCCGAGTGAACATTTTCCTTTACAGGATAGATAGGCATAGCATGGCTGTGGAGGTTTGTTCTTGACAAGCTGCCGGTCAATTTAATTTGAAAATAATCATCAGCCTTGCTAGTTGATATTTCATTTTATAATGAAGAGAGAAAAAAGACACATTCCAAAATTTTGATCACCGTTTTATATAACTAACAGTAAGCCGAATAGCAATGACTGTCGGAATAAACAATCAACGCCCGAATATAAAAGTCTGACAGAAAACATAGTGGCATGCATTAAAAGGGGTGATCGTCGAGTGCTTTATTAAAGCCATTGAATATGAAAAATCAGAGGGCAGTGTGTTTCAATAGACCTTTTGCCGAATTATTCAATCATCAGAGAGAATGCCGGGAAAGTAGGTACAGGCGCTGCGCGTGCTGGCGTCTGCAACCAGAACTGTTTAAAAGCAAAAATCTGAAACAAATAGCACGAACGCTTTATTTTAGTCAATACTTATATTACTTTGTAAAGGGAAAGCGAGCGCGTGTACCTACGTTCCCAGCATTCTGTATGATGCTAGGGTAATTTAGATAAAGGTCTATTAGATATGTAGTGCGTGGAAAAAATAAAAAAAACCTAAAAAAATGTTAGTTCGAGCAAATATTGGCTGAGGAGAAAATTCATAATAGTTCCTAGAACAAAAGAGTATTTCACGCTCTACTCGACATTGCATCTACTTAATTGGTCACTTTCGCGACAGTGTGTGTGCGTAATCTTCATAGTTCCATCACGCGTCCCTGTGTACTTCGTTTTTGTTCAGCCCAAAACAAACAAAAAACTGCTGCTTATGACATAAAAGAGACATTACCAAATTTCTATGTGTTTGAAAAGTTAAATATGTCCCAGGAACACATAGTTATTTAAAGCTCTCCCAAATCACTTTGGGCCTTTGAGCAAAGAAAAAAAAACGCCGGAAAAGATTTCAAGAGAATTTTTCAGATAATTCGCCACGGTCGATCACCCTCGGGTTATTTTCAACATGATCAACATCCACCAGCTCGCCTGTACATTCAACGCTTTTGCGTAAAGCTTGAGAAGTTGTTCATGTATGATAGCTCAGAACAATTTGGCATATCTTCATATGTGCGTCCACCGCGAAATCGTATAGCATCGATTGTTTGGCACACGTGACGGAAGAAATTAAAGTTCTTCCAAATTCGTCACGCGTCACAAGCTCTGTAATATAAATTAAGACATATAACATATTAAAATTACCCAAGGCTGTGGTAAAAGATGGGAAACTTTGTGGAAGAAAAATGACACAGGAAGGACGTCTCAAAGTTGAATGTAGTTTCCCATCTTTTACCACAGTCTCGGGTTATTTTCCATTCTCAGGCTTCTTGTTTTTGGGGCCTTTCCTACACAGATTACCAATAATAAAGCCAATACCTTTGCAGAAGACACCGAGAACGCCTGTATCGACTCGACGCGTAAACAGGATGTGATGCCTCTAGTGCGTACGTTGGAAAAGCGACACCGACAAACGAAACATAACGTCTAATGTCTCCAGTTTTCCCGCAGGATGGTGCTGCGCCTAACAAAGTCACTTAGGTCGTATATCAGTAAGTGACCGTAAATGGATGTCCAAATCATTGTGGGAGCCGCCCGCTCCACTTCCCTGATTAGGCCCTATGGCCGCGGGAAAAGCACTCCGAGCTGTCCACCTGTCAGCCGGAGCGCCCCGTTTCGTCCCCCGGAGGAGCAGCCATCTTGCCTGCTTACCCTAGCGTCGCATACTTCCTCCCCCCCCCCCCCCCCCGTGCCCCCCTCCCCCCCTTGCGGGGACACGTGAAACGTCCCCCTGGCGGTTGGACCTTCTTGGGTCCGAGGCTGAGGCCGCCAGCAGAGAGGAAGAGAGAGGGGGGCCTTGCGCCCCGCTCGAGGGGACTGCTCGCGGGGACATCCAACTGTTCGGACGTGTGGCCCGGCCCTCCCTGACGGCCCACCTCCGAGCCGCTCTCAGGGAGGCACGACAAGGTAAGGTCTGTTCTTTCCTGGTCGCCCTTAGCGTGTTTCTTATCTGTATATGATTAACACGTAAAATAAACATCCGATTATCCCTTGCCTTCGGCGTGTCCGTGTGCTCCCTTTTGAGAGTCCCGGCTAACGGTTGCAGCCGACAGTCGAACCCGCCGCAGGGCTCAGCATGATACGCTGTGGAGTGGTAGGTTGAGCGGTCGGCCTCCTTGCCGGACGCATTCACCCCTTTGAGACCTCCACAATCTACAAAATATAAAATGAGAAAAAAAATGGCTAAGAGAGTAATTATATTTTTAGACAAAAAAAAAACAAAAAAACTCGTGATTTTGATTGACCGTGCATCGAAATGTCCGTGTACCAAAATGTCCGCGCACCAAAAAGTCCCACATCGAAATGTCCGTGCACCGAAAAGTCCCTGCACCGAAAAGGCCGCATGAAAACGCCTTACATCGAAACGCCCTACACCGAAATGCCCGGATCCCGTGGCGAAAATGCAGACCACAGGAAGCTTTACAACGAAATACGTTTTTAACCCCCCCCCCCTCTTTTTTTTCTTCTTATTTTATTGCTTCTTCACAAAATACGCTTTAGTCCTGAGGGACTCCCTCCTCCGTTTGGGAAAGGGGTGATAATTCGACGATTATGTTTGTGTCACTCGTTCGCAGTAATTCTCCGTTGATTTAACTTTGCACCCAAAATATAAACAAAATATGGAGGTGGTCGAAGCTTGAGGAAATATTTGAAAATGACGCTGATCTTTCTTCTCAGGTATCCCTCCCATACATAGTTCCAGTTCTGTGCAACGACGAATTAATAAGTCACATTTAGTACTTTCAATTCTTCACGGGGACAACTATCTGAGGCATTTCAACAAGAACGAAAACATGTTTAGGTACCTCAAGGATGCTTACGTGTAAAATAGGTCGTGCAAATATTTTTGTACTTTCAGTAAATTCCGCTAAAAACTAATCCCTGACGTTGATAACTTGCAAAAACACTAATACCCATTAGTTTTCTTCTCCGCGCGATGGCAGACACGGAAAAAATAAAAGCAAAGAAACAGCTACCCCCCCCCCTCAACTCGCAATTAGAATAAGACGCCCCGTGAACTGACGCTAATTAGATACATACGTCAGTGTTCAGGATAGTTATGCGCCGGGGGTGGCAAAGCATAGAGCATGGGCTGAGCGTCGGATGTTAGAGTTCGGCTATTCTCATCTTTAACTAAACACGACCCATTACCCAAATGCTTCCAGAGGCTGATTGTCATCAACCCGAGCACTCGACTCCGGCTCATGACAATCGAGCACGTTAGGGTGCAACGCGACCTGCGGTGCGAAGTCCTGATGTCATGTGACGTCACGGTGTCAACAACGCTAATAAATCTAGAGACGTTCTAAGTTTAAAACCATTTGACGCAGTGTGTCACGCGACTACGTCACATGACATTACGAGGCCACATGACGTGACATTGCTTCACAGCATATCTTGACGACCCCCCATGCGAAGGCCATAAGAGGGCGCCTCTCTGCTCTAGACCGGCCATAGCCCTTCATGAGTTGGCAAACCAGCACACGTCAAGTGGCATATGGCACTGCGAGCCGATCTGGCACTCGCACAACCGTAAAACGCCGAGATGCCCCACCCCCGAAAGACAGCCCACCCCAATTTTTGCTTGATTACCTATATTTTTTTTAAACACCAAAAGATAGCCCACATGTAGTAATAGTAGAGTGTAGGATCAATGATATAGCCTCGACGCAAATGCAGCTAGTTAGCTATGGCAGGATATAAGCGAACATTGCTGACTGCAAAGTAGTCATCTTTGCTTCGTTGCCCCTCGCCCGGATAAGAAGCTTGGAAGGGACACACGACCTAAAAATAGGATTTTTTTACTTTTCTTGATTGCACACCGAAAGGAAGCCCACTCCATATTTTCACCCACTTTGCTCTTGATTTTAGGTGGGCTATCTCCCGGGATATTACAGTAAGTCCTTTTCCGTAAATTTTATTTTAAACGCCCGCGAGATGATAAGGGGCAACGTGAACGTAATAAACAGTGAACAGTGAGCTATGTCAACAATTGAGACACATTTGGACTTATTATTGCCACCAATCTGACTCATTCATGAAATATTTTCTTCGAAGATGGCCATTAAGTCTAGTTTCTGTTTTGAGGGGGAACTAATCGAAAAATTTGAATAGCTTCTCTGGATTTGGGACACATCAAGACACGACTATCGCGATAGAATAAAGCAGGACAACTCCTGGATTACCATCGGCAACCTCTTACGTATTCATTTCTTAACTTTTGTTTGAGTGAGGTACATATTGTGAGTACGTCAGCTGGATCGCCGCGCGAGCGTAGTTCAGATTGTGACTGTGAATAGGTGACCAGAGATCAACAAGCTAGTTTGTGTGCACCGTTTCTTAAACGCGTGAAAACAGCGCATTAGCGCAATAACACCTGGACATGTGTTTCAATTCAAAGCGCTCTTATCCCTCCCTGTGTCTGCTCCCTCCCCCGTCATCTCACCAGGGTGGAGGAAGCTGTGCTTCGGAGACTGCGGGCTTGGGTGGCCATTACACCGGCTGTAACCTGCACATGGAGCTCTCCACCCGTCACACGACAGGCGACATGCCCCAAGTGTCCCCTAGACGCGACGGAAGCGGATGTGCATCACCTTATATGGACTTGTCCTGGTCTACAGACTGAGCGCACTCGCCTACTTATAGCTGCAGGTCTCCAACACAGTGCACCCACCAGCTACCATAAGTGGCTGCATAACAACCACTATCACAAAACATTGCTTCAATTCATCCATACCACAGGCCTTGTAGCATACATATAAGACATTTATGCCTAAAAGCAACCCCTACATAATAAAAAAAACTACTTTATTACTAACCAACTAGCCCAACTTTCTACTTCATTATTAACTAGCGACCTATTGCGTTGTCATGTGAATTGTCACGTCATTGTTGAATTGCTGTCGCTTGACACCTCCACTGACCAAGTTTTAACACGCACTAACATAAAAAAGCCTGTCCTGATAGAATAGTCGTTTTTGAGTTTTCCTGTACATCAAAGTGCTCATCATTATTTCATCAAGCACATAAAGATGCAAAAAAATTTAGTGCATTCTAGGTTAGCCATAGTAGTATTTGTAGACAAGTTCTTCTCTTCTACACGGGAGGGAGCCACCTCACCGAGAGAGAGCACGAGTATCGCGCAAGCGGCTTGGGACCGTTGACCAATGAGAGACACACACACGGCAAGCACTGTTACCTGCCATGTCTAGGCAAGCTCGTCGAACTCGAACTCAGTTCTCGGTCTTCTCAGTTGTATTAACTAATCGTTAATAAACGCTTTCATAACATGGTGTCAGAAACGGAACACGAAAACGCTCGCACGTGAAGTCAAGACCGATGTGAGTCGCACGGCGCAAGAGTTAAGGCAAGCGAAGACCAGCAGCGCAGAAAATGGCGGAAGACAGCGGCACCGCTACTACGCAGCAGTCGGGCAGGAGTTCGAACGTCCAACTTCCCATGCCGGGAGGGGTCTTCGCAAGTTTGCTGCCTCCTCCGAAGCCACTCGACATGTCCGGAGGCCTGGAGACATCCTGGAGAACATGGTGGGACGAATTTAAGTTGTTCTCAACCGCCACTGCTCTGAAGTCGCAAGACGCCGAAGTACAGGCCGCGACGTTCCTAGTCGTCGTAGGGGAAGACGCCAGGCGAGTCTACAAAACGTTCACGTTCGAAAACCCAGGTGACGAACTGCGCGTTGAGAAGATAGCGGAGCTTTTTGAAAAGCATTGCAAGCCAGCTATCAACGTGAGCTATAGGGACTTTGTATTCGGCACACGGAACCAGCATGACGGCGAACGATTCGATGACTGGCTTACTGAGCTGCGCACGCTGGCGAAGCAGTGCGATTTTGGCGAGCTACACGACCGCATGTTGCGAAGTCGAATGATTCTTGGAATGACCAACAAGCGACTGCAACAACGCCTCATCAACGACGATCCAACTTTGGAACAAGTGATTCAAAAGTGCCGCATGGAGGAACGTGGAGCCCTACAGTTCAAAGATATCCAAGCTGGAGCATCGCCTGCCGTTGTATATGGACTCAAGTCCGAGACATGCCCTCAATGTGGATACTCTACGCAGACAAGCGGAACATGTCCTGCCAAAGGTACGAAGTGTAAAAACTGTGGTCGGAGGGGACATTTCGCTCGAGTGTGTCGCGCGAAGAACAACTTACCGAAAAATAGAGCATCACCACGGAAGAATGTTCGCAATGTTGAACGATGCAAATCTCCAAGTTCCAGCTCCGAAGAAGAAAAGTTGGTTTGTGGTCTATCCAACAGTGTTGGTGATGAACAGTTCTGGAGAGCTGAAGTCAGAGTTGCAGGAAAGGCAGTTGACTGCAGGGTGGACACAGGAGCAAACTGTTCTGTTATGTCTGCAACGCAACTGCGACGAGTCACGAACCAGAAACCGCAAGCAGTCACTACGAAAATAGGTTCGTTCTTTGGCCATGTCAGCAAAGCGGAAGGCCGCATTATGCTGCCAGTCGCCCATGGCAACCAGAGTACCGACGTACAGTTCTACATCGTGAAACGGGAAGTACCCACAACGATAAGCGCTACCCCGTTGCGGAACGACTGAACCTGATCAAGCGAGTGGCGTCAGCGGAAAAGCACTGCAACCAGACAGTAAAAGAACACGAGGACGTCTTCCATGGACTTGGTGAAATCAAGGGTGTCAAGTATCACATGAAGCTCAAGCCAGATGCTCAGGGTGTTACGCAACAGCCACGTACAGTCCCAGTAGCCATCCGAGACCAGCTGAAAAGCCACCTGGATGACCTCGTGCTACAGAAGGTGATTGCACAAGTGACAGAACCAACAGAGTGGGTCCACCCAATCGTGGTTGTGAAAAAGAAGGACAAACTCCGACTGTGCATAGATCCACAAGAGCTCAACAAGGTTCTCATGCGAGAGAACTACTGCATGCCTACACTGGAGGACATAGCAGCACGACTGGAGGAAGCCAAGTTCTTCTCGACGCTCGACGCAGCCACGGGGCTTTGGCACATCAAGCTAGACACACCGAGTTTGTACCTCTGCACATTTGCAACACCGTTCGGGAGATACAGATTTCTCCGAATGCCTTTTGGCATATCGTCAGCTCCCGAGGTGTTCCAGAAGACTATGCACGTGGTGTTTGAAGGCCTCGACGGAGTTGAAATCATGGTCGATGACATTCTTATCTGGGGAAGGACGGAAGAGAAGCATGACCGTCGACTGCAAGCCGTGCTGCAGAGGTGTTGTGAGGTCAACCTTAGACTGAACAAAGAGAAATGAAAGTTCTCTCAAAGCCAGGTCAAGTACTTGGGACATATCTTGTCACCTGAGGGACTCTCGATTGACCCGACGAGGGTACAAGACATCCTTGCGCTCCCAAGACCATCAAATGTGGGGGAACTGAAGAGCTTCCTAGGAGTCGTGAACTACCCTGGCAAGTTCATCCCGCACATGTCCGACACAAGTGCACCGTTAAGGCAACTCTTGAAGAAAGAGGCGGCCTGGTCCTGGACAGAGGAGCACGATAAAAGCTTCACAGCACTTCGAACAGCGTTGACTGTTGCACCAACTCTGCGGTTCTACGACAAGAACAAACCAGTAACTCTGTCAGTGGATGCAAGTTCCAGAGGAACGGGTGCAGTGTTGTTTCAGGAGGGTCAGCCAGTAGCCTACTCATCGAGGTCCTTAAATGACGCCCAAAAGAACTATGCCCAGATCGAGAAGGAGCTGTTGGCGATTGTCCATGGATGCAGCCGATTTCATGACTACATTTTCGGGCAAACCGTTACCGTGGAGTCGGACCACAAGCCACAAGAGGCGATCTTCAGAAAACCTTTGAATCAATGTCCTCTCAGATTACAAAGGATGAGACTGACCCTACAAAAATATGACCTGCTGGTGAAGTACACTCCCGGTAAAGAGCTGTACATTGCAGACACGCTGTCAAGAAACCCTTCGAAGGAGGAAGAGTCGGAAGTCTTCGAGGTGAATGTCTTGGAGTGTCTCCCTTTAAGAGATGAAACACTGGAAGAATGTCGTCAAGCAATCAGCAGGGACAAGGATCTGAGTACCATGCTGCAGTATGCAAAGAGCCAGTGGCCGAGCAACAAAGAAGACATTCCAGGCCCGTTAAAGACATAATGGCCGTACAGGGATGAAATCCATGAGGAGGAGGGCTTACTCTTCAGGTCGAATAGACTCGTCATTCCAGAAGAGATGAAGAGCGCTATCTTGGCAAGGCTTCACAAAGCGCACAGCGGAGTAGAGAAGACGCTCCATCGTGCTAAAGAAGCTCTCTACTGGCCTGTAATGCAGAATGACATCAAGCAGGTGGTAGAAAATTGCAGTGTGTGCGAGGAACACAAGCCGAGGCAATAGAAGGAGCCACTAGTGAACCATCCAGTGCCAACCGCACCCTGGCAGATTGTTGGAGTGGACTTGTTTCAGCAGTCGGGACACCACTACATTGTGTTGGAGGACTATTACTCTTTTTTCTATGAAGTGCACCAGCTTCAAAGGTCCACTGCCAAGACGATAATCAAATGTTGCCTGGCAACGTTTACCGTGTATGGTCTACCTGTCAGGTTGGTTACTGACAATGGACCACCATTCAACAGCGCTGACTTCAAAGAGTTCTTGCAGCACCGAGGAATTTCACATGTGACATCCAGCCCGTATTATCCTCAGTCAAACGGGATGGCAGAGAGAGCAGTGCAGGAGTCGAAAAAACTCATGACCAAGTGCAGTTACGGAACGCCAGACTACTACGACGCCCTACTCGAATGGCGAAACACTCCCAGGGATGGAGTTCTAGGATCACCAGTTGAAAGGCTCATGAACAGACATACCAGGACGGAAATCCCTACACATCCATCTCTACTGCAAGGGACGAGCACAGACCCAAGCAAGGTACAACAGCGGCTGAGAGACAAACAACAAACTCACCAACGGTACTACAACAAAGGCGCCAAACCTCTACCTGAATTACACGCGGGAGAAGACGTCTACCTTCAAGATCAAGAACGAGGAACCTGGAAACCGGCTGTCATTGTTCATGACGACGAGGGCATACAGCGCAGAAGGAACAGCATCGCTCTTCGCAGGAGCCAGAGAGCGAAACAAAAACCAGCCCGCTACCGCGACACAAATTTTATTTATGAGTGAAAAAGGGAGATGTAGACAAGTTCTTCTCTTCTACACGGGAGGGAGCCACCTCACCGAGAGAGAGCACGAGTGTCGCGCAAGCGGCTTGGGACCGTTGACCAATGAGAGGCACACACACGGCAAGCACTGTTACCTGCCATGTCTAGGCAAGCTCGTCGAACTCGAACTCAGTTCTCGGTCTTCTCAGTTGTATTAACTAGTCGTTAATAAACGCTTTCATAACAGTATTGGCAGTCTATTTTAAGGTTGCCCATTGCAGCAAGCAGCTACACTTTTTTGTCTTAAATGTGTGGCATGCTGCAGCGTGCAACGGAAGTGTATAGTGAATACCTGTATAAATAAAACAAAACTGACAGGCATTTGTTTTCTTGGGACACAAGTGTGGGCATTGTTTGAGCTGAAGTACCTAATGAATCTGTGGTACCTTGAAGAGGTTATGAAAAACTTGAGCAACTATCATCATCATCATCATCATCATTTATTATCCTTGAAGGCCCTTACGGGCATTACACAAGGGAGTGGTACATTTGTTATTATTTTTCTTAATCGAACACTTCCGCACGCAATTTTAACACAATAGAAGAGAGAACTAGTCGGATAATGAAGAGATGAAAGTGGTTACAGAGGCGGCAAATTTATGTGTGTCAGTTATGGTAACAATGTCATTTGGTAGTATGTTCCAATCGTTTATTGCCAAAGGTAAAGTTGAATTACTGTATGAAGTAGTTGACAAAAAATGGGCCGCAACTTGCAGGAGTGGTCAAAGCGGGGAAAAATCTGCCACGGGGGTAAAAGCAGAGATTCACGAAGAGGCATGTTATAGTGAAAGATTCGGTGAAGGAGAGAGAGACGGGACACTCGGCGCCTCAATGAAAGCGTGTGAAGGTTAGCTGCTTCGCGCAATCCAGATATGCTCGTGAATGGTGAGTAATCAGAAAAAATAAAACGAAGAGCCCTGTTTTGGATGGATTCAAGTTTGTTAGATAGGTAAGATTGCCAAGGGCACCACACAGAAGAAGCGAATTCAAGCTTAGACCGAACCAAAGTTGAGTATGCTAATTGTTTTATCTCTGCTGTTGCGGGTTTCAGGTTTCGGCGCAAAAAACCGAGGGTACGGTTTGCGCTAGCTACTATATTGCTGATGTGAGACGTCCATGAAAGGTCGGATGTTAAATGAATACCGAGATATTTATATGAACTGCAAACGGTGATGGGGGACGCGTCAAAATGGTAAGAAAAAGGTTGAAGAACACGACGAGAAAAGGAAAGGGATTTACATTTGTCGAAATTGAGAGTCATCTGCCATTTATTGCACCATTGAATGACTTGTGAAATATCTGTTTGCAAGGTATGGTGATCGTCGAGCGAGAGAATGGGCCTGTAAATTACGCAGTCGTCTGCAAATAACCGAACTGATGAGGAGATGTGCTCATGAATATCATTGATGTAGATTAAAAAGAGTAAGGGCCCGAGTACACTACCCTGAGGGACGCCTGAGGTTACCGGGCACGAGGGGGATTTAGAGTTATTAATGGTGGTGTACTGGGTGCGGTTAGTCAAGAATTCGGATATCCAATTTACGATAGTGGGATGGATCTTAAATTCGTTAAGTTTTATTTTAAGACGTTGATGAGGGACCCTATCAAACGCTTTAGAAAAGTCGAGAAAAATGGCGTCAGTCTGAATGTTGGTATTAAAACCTGCGTGAATGTCATGAAGAAATGCCGTTAGTTGGGTTTCGCAAGAGTACGCTTTCCGAAAACCATGTTGGTGATTAAAAAGTAGGTTGTTATTTTCTAAATAATTGATTATATTGGAGTAAAGTACGTGTTCCATGAGCTTAGATGATACGCTAGTTAGGGAGATGGGCCGATAGTTTGTAATTAGGTGGCGGTCACCAGATTTGAACACAGGGGTTACGTTTCCAGTTTTCCAATCCCTCGGAATTTCAGAAAGTTTAATTGACTGGGAAAATATGTCACAAAGAAAAGCTGCGGAAATGTGTTTCGTGTTTATTAGAACCTTCGAATTGATTTGGTCATCCCCTGAGCTGGAAGACAGCTTCAAGTTCTCAATTGCTTTCAGGACGCCGGCATAGTCAAAAGTGATGGGCCCCATAGGAGTGTGCAATGACTGGCGTGGGACGGGAATATTACTCAGGTTTTCTTCTGTAAAGACAGAACTAAATAAGTTATTAAGTGAAAGAGCACTTTGGTGATCGGAAAGATTATGCCCGCTGTTGTCAGTGAATTGCAAGGGAGACGACGTAGAAGGATTAATAATCTTCCAAAATTTCTTTGGCTTGTTAACCAAAATGTTGGAGAGGTCCCGAGTATAGAATTTAGTTTTCGCTTCATTTATAGCTGTTTTGTATCCCGTTGCACAATCGTGGTATTTGTTCCAGGCTTCCAGTGTGTCGCAACACTTAGCCCGTCTATAAAGCCTTTTCTTTTTGTTGGAGTGCTTATGAATGGTTTTGTTATACCACGGATTGTTATTATCAGAGATGACACGAGTGAGTGGTATGAAAGACTCAATAAGTTGAATTAGTTTATCTTTGTACAGCGTCCAGTTAGCGTTGACAGATCTTTCCTCAAAACCGTGAGAGAACGTGTCGTAGAAGTGTTCCAGTTGCGAGTTGATAGAGCTATAGTCGGCACCCGCGTAATTCCGAATGAATTTAGTATAGCGTGATTTGTGAGGAGTGGTAAGGGAGAGTGTTAATTCGATAACAAGATGGTCACTAATGCCGGGTAAGTATGTAACGTTACTGATAAGGTCTGGCTCTTGCGTTAGGCACAAGTCCAGCACATTGCTGCAGATTTTGGTAGTTCTGGTTGGTTGAGTGATAACGTTGGAAAAATTGAAGTCAAGGCAAAGGTCTACAAAAGCATCGGAAAAAGCACTGCCGGAGGAGAGGGCAGTCCAATCAATGTCTGGGAAACCAGGTAAAAAGCACATGAGCAAGCTTACAAATGTTAAACACAGAGTACATTCTAAACATAATTTATTACCTCTGAACCAGACTTAGTGCATGTTGAAAAAATTATCCGGTTCCCACATTAAGGAACAGCCAAACCTCACCCACAACAATACAGAAAACAAATAACCAACCCAGTGAAATCATATAGGTAAAAAAATAGCAAGATTTTTATTACTTGTACCATGGTGACTCGAACTAAGAGGAGTCTTCTTTCCTTTTGTTATGGCCTAGAACGTTTCTTTAAAATGTAAATGCCTTAATTTGTAAATATTTGATTTCTTGACTGCAGAGTGCAGTGCAGAAGAGTGCAAGCAGGCATGGCAGGCCATACAAACCAGGTATGGTCGAGAGTCCAGGAATTGCACAAGCCTAAGCGGAGCTGGCCGGGACAAGATTCGGCAGTCAAGCTGGACACTGTGGAGCTTTCTCAGCTTCCTCAGGCACCAGATCCATCCCAGAAGGTACTATGCATATTAAATTATTAGACTACACATAAATTATAATTATTTTTTTGTGTAACATGCTCATACTTCCTATCAGCTCAAAAAATTTACGAATGGCAACAGCAAAAATATCTAGTGGTGGCTCCAGGACCACAGAGACAACCGGGGGATCATCAGCAGAGACACCCAGAGGCAAGTTTCCTTTCAGGCAACATTCTGCTCTTTGTACGCCCTACGCCAGACCTCTAGTGCTAATTAGTCCCGCCGAAATCGGAAGACGCGCGGAGGAGTGCGAGAGAGTAGGCCAGCGTGGTGGCGTACTCTCCCCGACACGATGCGGAACAACCAGGCTCAAAGTCAGACGACTGCCCGGAACGTCCGCGGCTTACGCCTTCTCAAGGGAAGCCAGTGGCTCCCACAATCCCCCCTTTCTCCCCAGCGTGTTGCGATGTGCATGTTTCTGTCGGCAAAGGTACGTGGAGAGATCATTGCATACGACTGTGAACATCCTCTCATGAACGTCACCACCATCTCGCCCGAAGGCATCGTCAGTTGTCCCACATTCTCTCCTAGGCTGAAAAACGAGAACCGCACTATCCAGCTCGTGCAAATGAGAAAGTGCAAAACAGTGGCGTACAACCAGTGTCTAGTAGCAGTGTTGCAGACGATCAGTTATTGTGGTGTGGACTCTCACTCTAGTATCGTAGCTAACGGTGTATCAAGCTACGTCGCATGTTTCTGAAGAGAGTTGTAATGCACACTGAACAACAGGAATGTATCAGTTTAAGACAGGGCCAGTGAACCGTGAGCACAGAGCAAATTCGACTGCAACATCTGGGGTCACTCTACTCAGTGCAGTTGATGCGACAGGAACCTGTGCTGGGGGTTCGTATTCCTACAGAGAGCTCCAGTACCATAGCGTGGTTGTGCAGGCACAACTGACAATCACTCATCGAAATGGGAAGGCAACCGTGGATCGGACGAGAGGGGAAGTGAGGTTCCCAACGGGATACCGCTGCGCACTACACAGAGGCCAGTGTGTGGACCCTGAAGACGGACACACGTTCTGGGCAAGGAACCCGGTTGTCAGCGAGTGCTATGGGTCACAGCTTGACGTGCTCTTTGAGGGACTGGTCGAGTTCCTCATACCGGACCACAACGCAGAGAGGCCTTCAGCGCTAACTGTTGTAGTAGTACAGGAAAAGAGCATGTCATTCTATGTCATTAGTGAAACCCTTAGAGGTCTGTTGACAGCGCGGATATGTTGCAGATCATGTTAAATTGTTCATCATCGAGAAGACCCGCGGAATCGGTTTTACGCTCAATAAAACTGGCCTCCAAACCGAAAATGTAGATCTCATGTCGTACATCAACGCTAAATTTGTATATGTAGAAAGGCACATTCAGGAACAAATGAAGCTGATGTACAAACACATAATTTGATAGCATTATAACACAGAGACCAAGGTGTTAAGAAACTTACTAGTACTAGAAAGCATATCAGGACCCAGAGTTTGCTTACGCGTACAAAAAAGGACACAGATACACGGCGGTCACCACGGGCGTGGTGGTGCACCTACTTCAGTGTCCACCGGTAGAGGTTGTTCTAAGGAAAACAAACCGACGCTACCACAAGCTCGCTGTCAAATATAACAAGTCAATGTATGCAAGTCTGAAAAACCGAATAATGACACACTTTGGTAAAGAAGTGACTGTAATCCCCTTACACCAACGTTGTACAGCCTTGCTGGCAGATGGTATGCCCTAAACCCTGCCCCATTAATGCATCAAGCCCCACGCTGGGCCTCATTTTGTGGGGAGAGGGGATCACATACCTTTACGTCTGGGGACCGTTGCTCATAGGGGAATCCGATGCCCGTCCAACCACAGGGCCGACGGCTACCAGCGAGGGTGGTCGCCCTGCTGGGTTTGCGTACGCCATGCCAACGATGATCCCAGTATCCACAAGCGTTTATTGAGAACCGCAGCGACAAGAAGCTGCTGTCAAGCGAGCCGTGGACACAGAGTGGCTGCAGCGCCAGCCTACCTGAGAGCCAAAGGGGTAATGAAGTCCGTTCTCCTCGTGTTTCCTGCGGTGGACAGCATGTGCTCGGCATACTTGAGTACAGCCAACGGTATGTTTCCATTTGCTCACTGCAAAAGTTGGATCGAGTGGCTGGAGTGTCTGCTGCAGCGACTGTGAACAACGAAGGTGATGGCATTGTGTATTGCAACCCAATCTGGGAATATTTCTTAAAAATCCCACCGGTGACTAATGCACGATGCATGAAGCACAAGGCAATCCTCAAAACTCCAACGGGCACAACGACCACCTTAGCATCCCATCTAAAGAATCACCCGGACGCACATAAGACCTACATGAGAGAGCGTCTAGCAAGCGGAACTACCATCAAGCTCAAGTGCGGGAGTATGCCGAGTCAGCTGTCGGTAGCCGACACCTTCAAGCCAAAAATGAAACCAAAGGCACCAAGAGCAAAGCACATGACGAAGATGATTGGTAACTTCACCGGTCGCGGAATGCACCCATACACTGTCGTTGAAGAGGGAGGTTTCATCGACATGGTGGCATTTGCAATGCCAGACTACAGCGTGCCGTCGCGGATGACTTTCTCACGAGCAGTTATACCGGACCTCTACGAGTCAGAAAAAGGGAAGCGAAGAGAGCTGCAGGAAATTTTCCGCAGAGGTGCGGAGTGTTATTCCATTGCAACGGATGGCTGGATATCGCGCGCCAAAGACAGATATGTCTGTGTGACTGTTTACGTGATGGACTAAAACTTCTTACAGCATGTGTGCGCTTTGGCATGTACGGAAATTATCAATTTTCACACGGCCAATAGCCTGGTACCGTTGATTGGGAGCGTCATCGAGGAGTGGGAGCTTCCAGCATCAGGTGCCTCACCGGTGCTACTATATTTTTGACACAAGTGAATCCGAACCACAGCAAAACTCCCCTTTGCCCAGGGTACCGTCCTAGGTCATACTGTTCTGCTGCAGCCGAGGATCCATTGTAATCATGGATGGTATTACTTGTACAAGAACCACGATGGCCAATGCTAGGTTGTGGTGCTTACCCTGTCTCCCCCTTTTTGGATGTCATCTTTTCGTGCACCGTGTATTTTTAGCTTCCAACAGATACCTCTAAAGCAGTCTTGGGTACTATCGCAATACTTGTATCATCACAATATTTTCACTTGTCCTTTTTTTGTAACTTTCAACTGTAAAGTCGTACATTTCTTTTAAGTACCGTATTTTCCGGTCTACAAGTCGCACTGTTGTATACACCAACTCATGTTTACAAACAAACCGAAACGCCCCAAGCGGACGCCACCGGCGCCGCGCATGCGCGATGGGGGTGTGGTCAAGAAGCTCGCCGTCGCCCATAAACAAACCATTGGAATGCGACGTAGTCGGCGTCTGTGCGAGTCCGCCTGCTCTTTTTCGCGTTCGAATTGTTGATTCTACGTCTTCCTGGCAATGTCCGACTACTTGAGCGGCGTCAGCGAAATTACCGAGGCTCGTTACACCGCAAAACTTCGCGTGAATAATGTGACATGTGGCGATTGATTCTGCGTGGACGCCGCAGTATGTACGCTACAGCCTGATTCGTATGATGAGATTTCGTTCGCAATTTTCAGTCGCGACGCCGCTTAGGCCGCAAAAGCGTGAACCGTAGCTTAGATGGTCGACGTTGATACTGAAAATCGCAAGCTGAATCGGACCAATTGAAGTAGGCATAACAACTTGGTGATGGTCACTGGTAACAATAATCAACATCTCCTTGTATCTACTGTTTACATCGAGCCTGCTTACCAACCTTCAAACTTTAGTCTTCCGAGGCCTGAGCTTACTTCTTACCGCAAGTACTGCACCAACATTTGGTCTACGGGCCGGCGTCGTCTAAGAGAGCAGACGACAAGCCGAAACGTTTGAAAGAGAAGACGACAGTTCGAACGATCCGGCCGCCGTTTGAAATTGAAGACGCACTGAACGTAGCCTGCACGTGGTTCGCACAACTCTACAGTTTTCTGGCGTTCATGTTGGAACAAAACAAATAAATCTCATGACCACAAGTATCCGTGAATTCAATCCAAAGTGCTTCCCGCCCAAGCAATCGTAGTCCGACGACGTCTGCTTTTCCCTTTTCACGGCACATATCCAGATTCTCGGACGAACCGAGCACATGAAAACTGACCTTCAAACCTTTCTCGACACTTTTGGTACGGCCCCAGTCGCGGCGTTTTGACAAGAAGGCAGGTTTTTGTCTTCTTCCTTTCAAAACAACGCAGGAATACACGTCTGGCATGGGGACTTCTGCCCACAGCCCCAGACCGGAAGTGCGACCGACACGCCACCACCGCGCCGTGACGTCACAGAGATGAGTTTGTGTATAAGTCGCACTTCCGTATATCGAGCCATTTTTACAAAAAAGTTTATATATCAGTCGCACCTTTGTATAAGTCGCACCTCTTTGCATGGTTTACGCTTTTCTTTTTACGCTGATCGGTACCGCGAGACCGGAATTTCTCATTGGTAATCAGCTGGTTCATACGTACTGTACCGTTTGACGCCTGATGATGTTTAGATTAGCGAGAAATGCCTAGAGCACGGCACTCTCTGGCAGGGGCAGTCAGGATATTCGGAACTGAAGGACGCAAAATGAGCTGGCCAGCTTTACTCAAGCGTACGCATGCTGAGCAAACGAAAGTTTAACGTGCCAGAAACCTGTCAACAGTGGCTAGGCTTAGTGGGCGGCCCACTAAGCCTAGCCAGGGAGACAATACGAACGTATTACCTTGAAGTGTTATTGGAGTGAGGCAAGATATGGAACCATGACTGAATTAGGCTACGTCAACAAAACTTTTATTATCACTGCCACACTGTCCAGTCAATAAAGCCATTGAATTCCTTGCTTTCCGAGTCACTTTGGAAGAGTGCGGCGATCACTGGATCTAACGCGATGGGCTCTTCGTCGTCGTCAGGCCCGCTGCTGTAGTCGCTTTCAGCGGCACCTCTCAGGTGCAGATTCAATGAGACCGGCTTTTCTGAAACCGGTGGCTATAGTCCCTATGGAGACGGAGTTCCAGGCTTCACTGACCCACTCGGCCACCTCGCCCAATGACGCGTGCCTCATGCACCCAGTTTTCGTGAAACTTTGGTCACCTGCTTGTCATCCAGGTTTCCCACAAACGCCGCAGGACAGCTTTGAAGCTGCAGTTCACGGAAATGTTTAGTGGCTGCAGCATCTTCGTCATGCCGCCAGGAATTATGACCGGGATGCAGTTCTTCGCTTTGATGTTGGTCTTGACCAAATCGGTCATGTGCGCCCTCATGCTGTCCATAACTAGAAGGCCCTCATTCGTGTGAAAGAATCCGTCCGGTCGCCGTGGGGAGCATTTCTCCAGCCAGAGCCCCATCATCTGTCCATCCAGCCTTTCACGTTACATTGGATGACGACTCCGGGCGGAAAACTGTTTTTAGGCATAGTCTTTTTCTTAAAAATAATCATGGGCGGCAATTTGGTGCCATCAGCGCAGAAGCCAACACGACGGTAAAATCCGATTTCTCGCGGCCGATTGTTCTTACACTGACAGTCTTTTCGCTCTTCTTGGCCACGGTCCTGCCCATCAGGATATCAAAAGTCAGAGGGACTTCGTCCATGTTGACAATTTGGTTAGGCCTAACATCATGGGTTTGAATTTGTTCCCTGACGAATGCCTGGAAACTCGCCGTCTTTTCCTTGAAATCATCTGGAGGTTTCTGGCAGACTGTTGTGCGGGCTCTGATAGCTAGCTGGTGCCGTCTCATGAAGCGGAAGCACCAAGACGGCCCTCCGACAAAGTCAACCACGTTCATATCTTTTGGCAATGTTTGTGCCTTCAGCCGTAGCAGTGTATGACCACGTGGAAAAGAATTTATCTCAAACACTTATCTGTGCCATGGTATTGTAATTTATCCTGAGGGTGCAGCCAAATTTTGGATTGCTTTTGCAACAATATTGGGGAAAATATTTATTTATTGAAAGATTGACAGACGAAGACTAATATTTGTCGGGACCCAGATTATGTTTCTTCACGTCTTCCCGGTGTTTTGATAGTTGTTTCAAACAAAAATGAGAAGGAAGGAAGGCAAGATAATCATTGCGTCGACTTTATTGCTCTTTTTGTTCATTCAGTTTTGTTCAGCCCACGAGAAAGTTTTGCCTCGGTTGTATGGAAAAGGCTGAACTCCATTTGTGTCCGCAGAGAAACATCGCCATTTTTAACTGTAACTTTTGATTGAGCCAAGCATTTTTTCCAAAATTTCACAAAACAAAATGATAAATTACAGTACCCTAGCCGCCCAAAACAATTTTTATTTTTCTTGTTCTATAGATTTGTTTTAATTGACCCACAAAGTATACATAGCTTCTCACAAATAGCAGATGTTAGATCCGTATTAAATGTCTGTACTTGAATCACTGCTAAGCTGACGGGGCAGTGAAAGCTACGTACTCTGTCTCTAGATCAGTCAGTTACCTGCCGCTCAGTGCCTGATGCATTCTATGCCCGTACCTACCCGGAGAGTATGACCACGTTGTATGCGTGCAACCTTTCATTCATTGTTCCTACGAGCATGTAGCTTCTACCGCCCTGTCAGCCTAGCAGTGAACGTACTACTCATTTGCTTGAGAGCTTGACCATTCATTTTTAAGGTTGGGACTCAATTTGTTGTGCAGGTGCTTTGGACGTGCATTTTGAGCATGCTGTTTGTTGCCCACGAAGCCTTACTATTGCCTATAGAATTTTTGTCATCTCTTTCACATTTCGGCACGAGTATATCATGTCCGTATATCATATTCCTCTCAAGACGACATCTGAAAGGCAAAGTGGAAGTACCTGAGGGATAACTATGCCAAGGAGGTGGCCAAGGTGGCAGGAACAGAGCCCAGTATCTGTGGAACCTCAGACGTCTACAAGTTAAAGGGGATCTGCTTTGGCAGCTTGAGCTTCCTGACTGGCACCTCCACTGTTCCGCAAAGTTATACTTTTCATATTTCCCATTGGTTACCGTATATCGCATCGTCATGCAGTTTACTTAGTATGCAGCTACAAGGTTTTTTCTGTCAATTACGCAAGTCAGAGGCTGCAGGAACGTAAGCAAAGCCAGTCCAGCACTCAAATTGGAGGTAAGATAGCATAGAATGTATTTTAACGTCTCCTCATCAGTATGTTAGTGTGTTTATAGTCACGTTTCCATGTGCCAATCACAAGTGATCATGTGCGATGAAACTCTTCTAATGAATTCTATGAGTGCCTCCATCATGCAGCCAGGCATCTGGATATACCACAGGTGCAACCAAGCCAACTGATGACCAAGATCCTCTGGTGACTATTTGCCCGTCTTTACTTTCTTTTTGGTCTTTCAGAATGAGCATAGACTGTAACTTACAAAAGCTATTTGTTTTCGTTTTTTGCGTGTGTTCCTCTATGCAGTGCTTCCACCTAGTGGCACTTCCTTTGACTTTACAGCTGCTTCATTTCATAAAGCTGACAGCACCACCCTGCCCCCCCTCTCCCCTCCCCCCTTGATGCATTTTTAATGACCCTTATCTCTTCAATACTGAGCACACTGCCTAACCACCTAGATGAGGGGTCATCTCGTGGCACAGTGTAAACCCTCTGCCCAAGTGCAGTCGCTGGGCCGAACAGAAGATTTTTTTTTTGGTCTGTGTATTTTGTACAAGGAAAGCCATCGTAGCTTTCCGATTTTAATTTGGTTTGACATTAGTGGTTGATATTTCACTTCAAACTTGAACCTGGTATCCTCGCGGATGAAAAAGCTTTAAAGCTTTATCTCAACTATTCCGACAGCGCAGTATACTTCATTTCAGCATAACCTTGAAAAAGGTTAGAGCTGCATCCCTCACAAGGCAGTCGGAGCAACTGAGTGAGGTATGTGACAGCCCTTTGCAAGAGGATTGCAACCTCGAACAGTATACTTTTGCATGTCTCGCTCCTACAGTCATTAGCTGGCCAGGCCATTCATTTAACTGTTTTGCAAAGTTATGTTGAAACGGATTGTAGCGAGTCAAATCACTCAATTTTCTTGTTGCAAAGACACCGCTAACAAAAACTCTTTAAACTCACAGTATTATGTGATTTGAGGAAGGAGGACTCGAACATCTGTATTTTTCAGAAATAAGATCAGACAGACTTCTGGCAAGTTCAAGATTTTTATTCAGCGGAGCTTGCTCATCTTTAAGTAGATTATGAGATGGAGGACTCGTTCGCAGTGTTTTTTCATGAGGAGTAAGAGGACTCATTCAGTTAATTTTAGGGGTGTGCGAATACCGAATAGTAGTTTTCGAATCGAATACCCAATCGAATCAAGAAAAAAAAGCCGAATATCGAATCGAATATCGAATAGTGATTTTATTTGTAGGAATTTTTCAAAGTGTGCTGCGAATGAGATTATTATATGGGCAGAGTATGCACCTGTTGCAGAATATGCATCTTGTGCAGAACAAAAGCTAAAATGTAAAAAGAATTCTGGTGAAAAAAAAAATAAATAAATAAAAGCAGTTGCTGTTGGATGTTTGGCACTAAAGATCCAATTTTATGGCACAAATATAATCTATCTTCCCTAAACGTCACACAAAAACCAAAGTTACAGCCACGCATGTCTTTTTTAAGCCGAACCTAACACCGCGACTTTTTTTTAGAAATGTTTGCATATCTCAGAAAAGGGGTATTTTGCGATATTTGGTTTTCATTATAAGGAAGAAAAAGGGCACCCGGGATTTTATTTCACGGAAATAAACAGATAGGTGTTCAATCTTAGTAAACAGGCTTAAACAATATAATCTGAAGTAAGAAAAAAAAAGCGTGGTTAGGTGGCGCAAGACACCGTTCAACTGCCGCTATGCATCTATTTTTCCGTCTATCTATCCTGTTTTAGAGAGCCTTGATTTAAAAGAGGGAGCAAGCGAAACTGAAACCACGGAGATGGCTCCAGTGCAGATTGGTCGTAAGTGCGCATGTGTTGTGTTGTCGCGAGGAAAAGGGCGAGCAAACAGAAGGGTGACGACGCCTGCTCTCCCTGCCCTGCCTGCCCGATCCCGATCGACGCTTTCGTTTTTTCGTCACCGTCTCGCAGTTCGTAATTCAAACGCGGCTATCGAACGGTTCGAAACCCTCTCAAATCTAGGCACACTATTTTCCCGTTCCGTTCCGTTCCGAATCAGAATTTGCGGCTTGAGGTTCCAAAAGAACGACGACGATAACTCGGCTGGTTTTATCGGCGTGTTTAACGTGGCTTTCTCTCTGTGATCGTGCAGTCGCCGATTTCTGTGAGCGCGGCAGGTGTGTTTTACATCGGTGTTTCAATTTGAAACGAAGGGCTTAACTCGTGAAAAGAATTAGGCATGGCAACAATTCCTCTCTGGAAGCGGCGCAAACGGGATGTTTCGGTTGTGATTCAAGGGTAGATTGCTTTGCGATTATGAGTAAATCTGCATGCTATAAAGATTGTGGCGTTCGTTACTTTTCTTTTTTCTAACCTGTGTGTTAAATTTTTGTGGAATGGTAGGACCAAGAGCTGTTTTTCACATGGTTTGTCTAACATCACGGCGCTTACATCGGGGGGGAAAACGGCTTTTTTTGTCAGCTTCGCGGCGATTGCGCGTCTTTGCCCGAATATATTGAATATTCGAGTGACCGAATACTAGGAATTCGATTCGCGAATCGAATTATTCTGGAACTTTCTATTTGATTCAAATTCGTATATTCGAGTATTCGCACACCCCTAGTTAATTTTTACATTGGCTTCCCATGTTGGCGTTTTCGAACCTAAAGAGTACACTGATGCTCGCAGTGTAAACGGATGTTTTTGAGGATAAAGCAGACATATTCACATATGCTTTTGCAAATGACGGATCAAAGAGCTCTACACCTCTGCGTGGCTTTTAATTAGTACATTCAACTTTCCTGTTTGCATCTTGGCAAAAAAAATTGACAACTAATATGTGTATTGAGAAGGTGCTCAAGTGTTATGTAGGCTAGATTTTAGAAATCAGTGCAGTGCTAAACAATTTAAGCCTAAATAACCTTTTCTTCACAACTGCAGATAATTTTAAGTGTGCACCAGCATATCCCAAAGACACACACACACACTTGTTCCCCATCTGGCCCGACCCCACATTAACTTCGCGTCTCCTCGGCCAGCTGCTTCAAAGGGTTGCTGATCTAGAGTGCTTGGCTTTTATTGACAGTGGCAAATGCGTTTCCAGGACCCACCTTCGCCCTTCCAGGACTCAGCTGTTTCCTTGGCTGCACAGCGTGGACTAGAGACAGAGAGTACACATTCACCAAGCCCAACCCCTGCAGATATGAAGGAAGTGACCGAGTTGCCTGCTGCGCCTCAACCTGCTGGTGTTCAGCCAGTAAAGCGAAAGACGTCCATGGATAGTGGAAACACACCAATAGAGCAGGTCCTGAGGGCAGCCGCTGCTAACCCGAGGTTCTCAGACTGCCCTCCAGAGCACACGGACAAGATAGCAGAGTCCCCGGCACAAAACCGTTCGTTCATGCAGCGAATGGTTGTTGACAGGCGCCGGCATTTCATCCGTCAGATAAGGGGCCTAGCACATGATGAGCTAGTAGTTGGCTGCACAGCATGGATCAGAGAGTACACATCCACCAAGCCCAACCCCTGCAGATGTGAAGGAAGTGACCCAGCCCCCTGCTGCTCCCCGACATGTGCCTCGGCCTGCTGGTGTTCGGCCAGTAAAGTGAAAGAGGTCCATGGATGGTGGAAACACACCAGTGGAGCAGGTCCTGAGAGCAGCCGCTGCTAACCCGAGGTTCTCAGACTGCCCTCCAGAGCACACGGACAAGATAGCAGAGTCCCTGGCACACAACCGCTCGTTCATGCAGCGAATGGTTGTTGACAGGCGCCGGCATTTCATCCGTCAGATAAGGGGCCTAGCACATGATGAGCTAGTAGTTGGCTGCACAGCATGGATCAGAGAGTACACATCCACCAAGCCCAACCCCTGCAGATGTGAAGGAAGTGACCCAGCCCCCTGCTGCTCCCCGACATGTGCCTCGGCCTGCTGGTGTTCGGCCAGTAAAGTGAAAGAGGTCCATGGATGGTGGAAACACACCAGTGGAGCAGGTCCTGAGAGCAGCCGCTGCTAACCCGAGGTTCTCAGACTGCCCTCCAGAGCACACGGACAAGATAGCAGAGTCCCTGGCACACAACCGCTCGTTCATGCAGCGAATGGTTGTTGACACGCGCCGGCATTTCATCCGTCAGATAAGGGGCCTAGCACATGATGAGCTAGTAGTTGGCTGCACAGCATGGATCAGAGAGCACACATCCACCAAGCCCAACCCCTGCAGATGTGAAGGAAGTGACCCAACCCCCTGCTGCTCCCAGACATGTGCCTCGGCCTGCTGGTATTCGGCCAGTAAAGTGAAAGAGGTCCATGGATGCTGGAAACACACCAGTGGAGCAGGTCCTGAGAGCAGCCACTGCTAACCCGGGGTTCTCAGACTGCCCTCCAGAGCACACGGACAAGATAGCAGAGTCCCTGGCACACAACCGTTCGTTCATGCAGCGAATGGTTGTTGACAGGCGCCGGCATTTCATCCGTCAGATAAGGGGCCTAGCACATGATGAGCTAGTAGTTGGCTGCACAGCATGGATCAGAAAGTACACATCCACCAAGCCCAACCCCTGCAGATGTGAAGGAAGTGACCCAACCCCCTGCTGCTCCCCGACATGTGCCTCGGCCTGCTGGTGTTCGGCCAGTAAAGTGAAAGAGGTCCATGGATGGTGGAAACACACCAGTGGAGCAGGTCCTGAGAGCAGCCGCTGCTAACCCGAGGTTCTCAGACTGCCCTCCAGAGCACACGGACAAGATACCAGAGTCCCTGGCACACAACCGTTCGTTCATGCAGCGAATGGTTGTTGACAGGCGCCGGCATTTCATCCGTCAGATAAGGGGCCTAGCACATGATAAGCTAGTAGTTGGCTGCACAGCATGGATCAGAGAGTACACATTCACCAAGCCCAACCCCTGCAGATGTGAAGGAAGTGACCGAGCCCCCTGCTGCTCCCCGACATGTGCCTCAGCCTGCTGGTGTTCGGCCAGTAAAGTGAAAGAGGTCCATGGATGGTGGAAACACACCAGTGGAGCAGGTCCTGAGACCAGCCGCTGCTAACCCGAGGTTCTCAGACTGCCCTCCAGAGCACACGGACAAGATAGCAGAGTCCCTGGCACACAACCGTTCGTTCATGCAGCGAATGGTTGTTGACAGGCGCCGGCCTTTCATCCGTCAGATAAGGGACCTAGCACATGATGAGCCAGTAGTTGGCTGCACAGCATGGACCAGAGAGTACACATTCACCAAGCCCAACCCCTGCAGATGTGAAGGAAGTGACCGAGCCCCCTGCTGCTCCCCGACATGTGCCTCGGCCTGCTGGTGTTCGGCCAGTAAAGTGAAAGAGGTCCATGGACGGTGGAAACACACCAGTGGAGCAGGTCCTGAGAGCAGCCGCTGCTAACCCGAGGTTCTCAGACTGCCCTCCAGAGCACACGGACAAGATAGCAGAGTCCGTGGCACAAATTTGTTTGTTCATACAGCAAATGGTTGTTCACAGGCGCCGGCCTTTCATCCGTCAGATAAGGGACCTAGCACATGATGAGCCAGTAGTTGGCTGCACAGCATGGACCAGAGAGTACACATCCACCAAGCCCAACCCCTGCAGATGAGAAGGAAGTGACCGAGCCCCCTGCTGCTCCCCGACATGTGCCTCGGCCTGCTGGTGTCCGGCCAGTAAAGTGAAAGAGGTCCATGGATGGTGGAAACACACCAGTGGAGCAGGTCCTGAGAGCAGCCACTGCTAACCCGAGGTTTTCAGACTGCCATCCAGAGCACACGGACAATTAAGATAGCAGAGTCCGTGGCACAAATTTGTTAGTTCATGCAGCAAATGGTTGTTCACAGGTGCCGGCCTTTCATCCGTCAGATAAGGCACCTAGCACATGATGAGCTAGTAGTTGGCTGCACAGCATGGACCAGAGAGTACACATCCACCAAGCCCAACCCCTGCAGATGTGAAGGAAGTGACCCAGCCCCCTGCTACGGGGCGCTAAAAAAAAACGCCACCTTTGATTTTTTAAAAATTTGGGTACCCTGTTATACTCTATTTCGGCATTCATTTCTATTAAAAACATGTCGCATCATTTCACTGTGAAAGAAGAAACAACTCCCCAAAGTAGGGTCCTTTTTCAAAGCCTACACTTAGCAGTGTCCTATACAAGAAGTGACTCTGAGTTCCAGTTTCATGAAACTTGCACAAATCTTTTATATACATTTATTCAGATGATTTCATTGATAAAAAGAGCGATCGGTCACACAGTAAAAGGGAGGAGAAACTATATACAGCATTTTACATAAGCGTACAAAGTGGTATCATATTAGAGACTAATGATTTGAGAAAAGATGATGCAGTGTGAAGTTGTACCTTCCGGTATATTTTACATCTAGAGTAAAATAAATAACTTTACTTCCACACACAAAAACAAAGATATAATAGTAAGATATTTAGGTTGGCTGTGTATTTACGATTACAAACAATTTCAGGTGACGGATGCCATAGTGCCTAACTGGAGCAGCTTCGATGCTCTCGGTGTATGAATGAATCGTGGCAAGCCGATATATTTTATCCTGCTCGAGGATAACATTTTGGGATTTTTTTTATAGTGATCAGATAAAAATTATTAGTAACCACCAACAAAAACAGTAGGTTAAATACCCCATGAAGAAAAATGTGATAAATAAGATGTCCCTGCATTCAAAATGAGCAGTCCTTGGGAAATCAAATTCGGCACTTTACGCTAAGGTTTTCCTCGCTGTACCCATTTAATAAAGTTGCTTCCAAGCAGATCCGACTGTCCGTGCTACATATACGTCACAGGTCCCATCTGTTGATGACTTGCTGAGCCGCCACGCGTGCCATGACTGAATGCCAGGGAAGGCGCGCACCGTGAGCCACTCTTCTTTTTTTTGTTCACGATACCGAACAACCTCATTTTCGTCCAGATATACAAGATGCACGCATTTCAGTTTCTTTGATAGAACGCTCACCATTGTCCTGGCCGTCTGAATTGCGCTTACTGAACGTTCTCTCAGGTTGTTCAGCGTGGCCTGGTGCTTCACGAGTCCGCCAACTCCGTCACATGCATTTTTCCCATGTCCAGATGCAGAAAATAACCACTGGGCTTGTGGGCAATCGTCCTTCGCAAATTGGTGAAGCTGGTAGCGATTCTTGAAATGACTGGCGGCGCCGTCACTTACGTACGTCACGTACGAGTATACCGCAACGTTGTCTTCAACCCACTCCTTCACTTTTTCTAGAGCCAAGCAAGCGTGAGCGGCGTCGTGACACAGGTCCTCACTGATGATGGCAAAGCTGTTTGTAGATTTTCTTGTCGTCACTACACATGTAAATATCGAAACTTGTTTTTTTTTCCAGTGATATGCTTGCACTTCGTCAAGAAGCACGATGGTCCAGTTTTCAGCAAAGTCAAAATGAAAGACAATGCTCCCGCGTTGCGTTGCATGCACTGTTTTTCATCGTAGATCGCTTTTCCTTGCGTTTGCCGGATATTGTTGTGAAGTACCCAACTTCCAACCGTCACTTGGATGACTTTTAGGAAAGTCTCAGGTTCCAAAGTTTTTTTCACAAGGTCGCCGGACTCCCATGTTGCAAGCACAATCTCTTCATCCTCCGGGATATCAAGTTCCTGGAGTGTAAGAAACTGGCCTTTTGGGCAGTGATCACAGTCTCCTTGAAGGCACAGTTCTGTTGCTGGGTCGCACAGAAATGCCGAGTTAATTTCACCAGTGTTGAATGTTGAGCGTGTAACGTTCTCTAGAGCGGCAATACAAAGATAATAATTGGCGCAGCGCACACAAACGCACACTTCCTGGTGTGGAATACATTGGACCCATCTAGGGCGCAACGAATAAAATTTCGTTAGCCCAACGCCGGAATCGGGATGCTTGTCTTTGTATATACGGAAGGCCTCTCGTATTGAGCGTGTCATGAAGCGCTTTGGCACGAACGTTTTCTCTCCGTTGAGCATGACAGAGATGACGTCCTTCTGGTTGGGACTTTGGCGCGAACATTGTAGCTCGTCTTTCGTGAAGTACTCTAGGGCAGCAGACAGGTTCTCAGGGCTCACCTTGCACCTCGTGTAAGGATCCGGCTCATACCACACGCCATGCTTTTCCTCGAGTTTTCGGGATTTACTGATGAGGTACATAGAGGCCTGTGGAATCATCTTTTGAACCTCATTCTTCGTCAGTGTTGACGGCAGGAGTGTAAGCAGTTGACAACGTTCCCGGAGAGAGGTGGCGGTTTCAAAGGCCTGCCGAAAGTTGTCCACCCACTCAGTGCATGTGGAGCATGTTGGTTCGGACGACCCAGATGGTGCGTCCATGTCGTACGCAATACGTAGCCTTGAGCGTATATTCTTGACAGCAACCTGCTCCAGTTCTGTCTGCTTTCTCTTGACATAGGCAGGCCTGTCCAGACTTCTTACGACGCTTGGTTGTCTCAGCGGCGACACATCTGTAGGTAGTATGCTGCGATTTAGATCTTCAATTGCTTCTTCAACTGGCACAAATATGTCAGGGCACTGCTCTGAGCTTCGCATCGAGATCTCCTTAGTGATGTGCATGAAGCAATGGTAGCACAGGTAGTCCGTCGCACTCACTTTGGTGGAACAGTCAGGCGGAAGAATTTGCTTCAACGAGTTTAGGTCCAACTCGCCAAAACTTCGAAAATTCCGCTGCTTTGGTATAGTCTTTTTGTGTTTGCAAAAGTAATCTGCACAAAACACTCGTTCGGAGCTCCAGGACGTCTTCATAATGTATACATAAATAATAAAAATTAAACCCCAACTGATGGCATATAATTGCCAAGTGAAAGAACTACTGGGTGCACAAGTGACAAGTCCGAGGCTGAGGAGCTCACTCACTGCAAACGTACATTTGAAAAGAGAGGTCACAACTGAGGCTGTCGGCAAAGCTTGATCCACGTCAAAGGAAGAAAGAGGGAAAGTCTCCAGACAAAAAATTGGGGTCAGCGGCCTTCGAAAAAGACTTTCCGGAATCGCACTGTCGTCCCTCCACGCGCTGATATGAAAGCACCCGAGCTTCTACCACGTGGTTCATGACACAGCCTGAGCCATGTCGGCGACCGGTTCGCGAGGGGTTGGCGGTGGGGTTACGTTGATGGTCACTCGGATTAGCCCTTGCTGTACTGAGCTACCGCCTGCAGTGCCTTATCGCCGGCTGGTGTCAACAACGAGAACACACACACCCTGTCTACA